CTGGGATTGATAGTTAGGCGGCAAACAAATATAACCCTACGCTCATGAGATTTAAGCAAGTTCCAACATTAATTACCCTCGAACTAAAATCAATCTATTTTATTGCCCTTGACTTCTTTCGAATATAATCTCTTGTTACAATACAATTAACAAGGACATTTGCATTAAAAAGGAATTTAGTGCTGTTGTCTTTTTGCAAAATAACTTATATTCAGAATCGTATAGAAGCTTTAATTTTTAGAAGATATCTTATATTGATATAAGGCCCGGAAGAATGATTGCAGCATCATGTATGTTATCATGGGTGCATAATTATCTCATCATTCACCAATAGTGGGTATAAGAGCATTTTTATCATTTTACATAAGAATGTAATTACAATAGAGTCCCAAAGAGCATAAGAGTATTTTCATAAATTCACATAGATATTGGTAATTTTCCTCATTTTATTTCGGATGTGTTTATAATAAAAAATAATTTTTTAAGCTAATCTAGCACTACAGCTTAATTTCAAAGAGTTTTTGCTCCAGGCTGTAATTAATTGAAAAGATAATCCTTGAAACAAAAGGAGCCAGAGTCTTGAAAGGTGTGGTATCTTGCTTTCTACCCTTTGTATTTTAATTTTTAATATGTAATTTTTTTTTGATAAATCATTGTTATGTAATTATTATTAATTGAAACTTAACTTATCAAGAGAATTTGTGGGACTCATAAAGCTTGACTTGGGAAAGGGACGCGTAAGAAGAATTTTATCTAATAAAATAAAGAAGTGATTATTTTTAAAAGTCAATGTGGCTTTTAAGTCGTCTATCCTGCCATTAATATAATTAAATTAATTACTTTTTTTTTGGGGCGGGGGATAGATATCCATATCACACATCAATGACGGAAGAATTTCTTGGGCCTATTTCATGCACGTAAGAAGACTTATGGGCCTCCAGAGCTAGCTTGCCATTAATTCTTCGCCTACAATATTAATGTATCTAACCACCACTAAGAATTAGTCTAGTTGATAAAAAATCAGCTTATAACATATAAAATCATGAGTTCAACTCCTGCTACCGATGTGAGAGCCTTGTTAGTGGGCCATTTGTAAATATTTTTGAAAACACTTTCTGAGTCTAAAGGCATGCCCTGACCCTAATGAGCCACATAGACCTAGCTTGCCTAAACTTTTTGTTACCAATACACACACCCATCCATCCAACCTTCTTTTCATTATACACACACACACATATCCATCCAACCTTCTTTTCATTATACACACACACACATATCCATCCAACTTTCTTTTCATCACTAGTTCTTTTTGCTTTCTGAGTCCTATCGTACTTAACTCCAAACTCCAGTGCTGCACTCATGATCAATATAAAATATTAGGATTAATTTTGAATGATTCAGATTTACTTATTTTTAGTTATATATTTTGAATAATTTTTTATTTAAATGGGTTAAAAATTTAAGAAAAGATAATTTTATAAATGTTACCCTTAAAAAACATAAAGCCATTACTTAAAAAGTTACAGATTAAAAGGAATATGTATATATTATATAAACAATTGATATTTTAGAAGGGATTACATATTGAAAAAACTCTCACTAATGAGATATACACTAATTAGCTTCGGGACACTGTACTTAAGGATTGTGCTTTGATTGAGTTATGATTACAATAAGGAATTGAAGAGTATTTCATTCATATCTGATTTTGAAGAATGTGTGTGTGTGTGTGCATTTATCATCAGAATGTTTACTAAAAGGCCAAACCTTTCAACCAATGGTAGGTGTAATTCATAATTAAATGTTTACTTAAGGATACTTTTTAAAATTTTGTAATAATTTTCTAAAAATTTAGATCATAAAACATAAATTGTACCCTTTCAACTCACCGTGACCATTTAAATAGAAATTAGTTTTTTTTTAACCGACATTTTTGCTTGGACTCGACGTTACTTTTCATTTCTTATTATGAGTCTCGAATAGTGTCCTGGAACAGCCCACCAAATTGACAGTTTTACGCTTAAAGAAAGATACCCAAATTAAATGATACAAAACAGGGATGTTAACTGAAATATAGTTAACCAATTGTTATTTCTACCTCTAACCTCCTCCTCCATACATACAAGTCGTTCCACCGCATCAGCTCACGCATGATCAGTCATTCAGCATCAAAATTACATAGAAACAATAAATACCATGGCATCTAAGATTCTCCCACTTAAGTCCAATAATAGGGCTCAAGCGTTAATGTCTATGTTCTATATGGGACTTACATAGAAAATTATTAAATAGAAAATCGACTACATCATAAAACAATTTATTTATAGAAATCAGTAAAACAGAATCTTAAAAACACGTTCTTTAGTAAGGCTTTATTAGAATGGATAATAAGCATAAATGCACAATCCACGAAGGTAATGAACCGATCAAGTGCAAGTGTGCTGCTAACAAATATTCATTTCTCTGTTCCATGTGCGTTCTCTGTCGCATATTAACAAACTTGACCTCTTCCAAGCATGCATGTAATCTAGATCATCTAAATGTCATCCCTTTTCAACATAATCCGTCATATTTTCCATTCGAAAAATCTTTTCACCATAACCATGCATCACATAGATCAAATATTTCACTAGGCCATAAAACGAAATGATATCATTATGTCTAAAACATAAGGATAATCAATTATAGAATAAATCCAACTCTGCTCTCAAAACTAATATAATGAATATACTTCAAATAGGGAAATAATCGACATTAGAGTTAAGAGTTATTTCATGATACATCTAAGTCTATTCAAAACAATCTTTTGATAAAAGAAAATTTATTTATATAATGGGACACTATTCAATAATGTGTTGCATTTACAAGTCCTACAATAAACGTTTTAAACATTTCTCCCCAAGATTCCTTTGCTTGAAATGCCCTATACTACATAAAAGGAAAATTTATAGCTAATCCTCAATTCAAAGACATATACTAAACTCATATTCAGTCTAACCGAAAATAAAATGATAATCATCCGTAGCCTCAAAGTATACTTCAAAATTTGCAACTTACTCCATATCATCTTAACTTGTAACTACAACCCCATAAAGCTTGAAAGAGACATCTTCCATTACCTTACACCATGAATTCATACATCACACATTTGAGCGAACACTTTGTGTGAATTTAAGAAAATTGAATCATAAAACAATCATCAATATAGCCTCTAAAACATTCCTCAATTCAGCATCTCCATGAAATCATAAAATTCATCACAAAAGAGCAATAAACAGCACGCAATCTACCTTATGTCTCATGCAAAATTTAACAAAACCACTATAGAATGCCAGGTGGACCTCCTCCTTCAATGCTTCGACTAAGTAGAACCCCAAATTCCTCCCCCCCCCCCTCCACGTTCAGCTGCAGAAAAGAAATTTTTCAGCCCCAAAGTAAAACCTTACGAAAAATCGAAAAGGAATAAGGACCAAAGCTCTCAAATCCCAACCACACACACAACATAGCAGAGTGGGTAAAGACAACGCTCTGCATACATACATACATACATGGCAGAAATCTGGAGAACAGAAGAAGGAGAAGAGTTTTGAGCATGAAGAAGAGAGAAAGAAGAAAGAAGGGGTGACGGCGTTCTGCACACACCCACGCATGGCAGCGACTTGTAGAGCAGAGGAAGAAGAGGGTTCAGTATGCGGGTGTTACCAAAAGAGAATACTTATTAATCTTAAATAAATTAAGAGTGATGGGTGTGAGAAGAAGCAAGAGTGAGAGGACAATAGGGGATCACCAGAAGAGAGAGGGTAAAAGCACGGGCTATGCAGAGATAGAGTGCTGATTTGACAGTGCCATATAGGTAATTCAATGCAACAACTTAATACCAACTCAAAAAATTGATGATATATGTAGTAATATATTGCTGATATTTGGATTCTCTTCGTGTGGCAAATTGATGCAAGAGTATTGATGATTGAATGTGGTATTGATTTGCTAACTCAATCTTTCAAATCAAAACTTTCAACAAACATTTTATCAGTTGACTTCTTCCTTATAAACATCTCCATTAGCATGATATCATAACTATACACATCTCCTTTGAAAGAAACCACTTCTTTTGAACCATACTCTACATGTCAAAAAAGAATATAAGATTTGGTGTTAAACTTTCTTCCACATAGCTAATACAAATCCTCGCATATATAAATAGAATATATCAATGAGTGAATAATATAAAATTTTACATAGAATAAAAAAACAATATAATTGAACTAAAATATCATTGTTAAACTGATAGTTTAGCTATACCAAAATCACCAAGATAAGCCACCATATCTCCATCTAACCAAACATTGCTTGATTTTATGCACAATGACCAATCGGCGTAGAAGTGTCATGATGAAGATACTCCAATGCAATTGCTATATCAACCATTATATTCTATCTTTGTAGGATATCCAAACAGTAGTTAAAAGAAGACAACCATCTATCAAGACTTCCATTTGACATGAATTATTTGGGCTATAGTGATCGCAACAGAAGGAAACAGAAGGTAAGCTAGCTCATCCTGATACACTTCCCAAGCCCTGTGTAACGTGCAAGTGAAGCTGGAATCTCTGTGGAGGAAAAAGTGGGAGGAGAATAGAGACCAGGTAAAACATCCAAAAATGGTTTTTAAAAAAAAATTACTATTTTTAGGAATTTTTTGTTCCTAGTGTTCTTTCCAATCATTGGGTAAGTTCACAACCTAATCAAAACATTTCCTTAGGAAGCTGCGTGAGCATCACACCCCGTTCAAATTAGGAAGGAATTGGGCTCCAAGGGCGTTAGGGTGGTATTGCCTGAACCATCTTGTTATGCAAATGAAGTTTATTTTGTTAGCAAAATGAGGGGGCTTAGCAAAACAAGCTCAGAAAACACCATTCAAACGAAAGAGCCCATGACAGCTCCATCTATCGTCAATCCTTTTCAGCACTGTATAGAGAGGGAAATAAGAATTGTTCCAATGTCAGTTTCCTTTGATTAACGAGGCTAAACAGAGAAACTTGTTTTGCTCCAGTTCAACATGACAACCATTAAACAGGATCCACATATAAAGCAGACCAAATGGATCAATTACGATATCTAAAGATCATAATAGCAATAAATGAATCCTGATGGTTCATGCAAAAAGTCTTCTGTTCATCTTTCCTCCATAAAAGGCTTTATTTAAGTGAAGCCCACAACCACAAATGGAAGAATCTTAACCATCAGAAACAGTCTAGGACAGCGACACTAACGCTGGCTCATGGCAGAGATAATTCTATCGCAGAAGGGTAAGAGCAGAGGAAAAATAGCTCAAGCACTCAGTGAGGCTCCACAGTTCTTCCTGCATTCTGCTAACATGTCCATGTAGAATTGGTACTTGCCAATGTCATTCCCGTAACTGTTCAGGCACTGCGAGAAAATAATCGCACATCTCTGATGTTAGCAAATATTAGAGAATCATTAACCAACAGCAGGAATAAAAACATTAACGAGTATATATTGGCGATTTCCTTAAAGAAACCTTAAATTCAGATTTCTTCAAACATATTTCGCTCAAAACTGCATTCTGAAACCAACGGGATAACATAACAGTACAAGTCCGGTTATTCAGTACATCATCAACTGAAACCTTGAGCAGTATACCTGATGCCATAATGAGCCAATCACAAAGAACTCATATGCATTAATGACTACCTATCGGTGATTTTCTTAAAGAAACCATGAATTAGAATTTCAAACATGTTCTGTTTCCAAAACTCAGGCTTGCCTCTCCAACCTGAAAAAATGATTCAAACATGTTCTGTTTCCAAAACTCAGGCTTGCCTCTCCAACCTCAAAAAATGATTCAAACATGTTTGGCTTAAAAATAGATTGCGAAACCAATGAAATAATCACACTTATCCCGTTATTCAGTAAAACAACAAAAGAAAATATATGATATACTTGATGACGCCGTACTGGTGCAAGCACTTGAAATTCATGCAAAGCAGGGAAAGCACAATGATAAAACATACATTTGAAACATATCTGACAACCCATAATAAGGAACTGTTGAAGAATAAGGACTTTCCATACATTTGAAACATATCTAACAACCCATCATAAGGAACTGTTAAAGAATAAGGACCTTCCACACAGATCTTGCATGTCTTGTAGAATGTTAATCAAATTGTTATTATTTTCTGCTGCTTAAGATATTTCTACACTATTGTGCATATCAAAGCATATAACATTCCAAACATTAATTGATGGATGAATTTGCGAGACATCCATCTCATAAAGAGTTATTCAGTTGTCCAAGGTTTGATTTACGAGTCATAACCAGATGGCCAGAACAGGTAAGAAATGCATACACCTTGGAAGGCCTTTGTATGAACACCACAGGCATCGCTACCAAGACTATTTGCAGCTGGTGCAGGGGCGACAGCAGCACCCTCAGCGACAACTGTTTCATGTTGAATTGTCTGGGGACCCATCACGGCATCCACAGCCCTGTGAGCTACTGCACCACCAGTTCCAAAAGCCATGCCCACAACAATTTTTCCATCCATTAGGCACAAAGAAATTCGTTTTCACAGGTCCCATCCCATCCATTAAAATGAAATAATCATATTCACTAATGTACCCTAAGCAATGGTTGAATCAATGCCACCAAGCAGAGAGCCACCACTGCCACTCTGAGCGGGAGCTGGGGGAGGAGCATGGTGAGCTGCATTAAGACATCACCAAGGTTAGACAAAAATTAAACTACTTCTTAAGTTTCTGGCTGAGTAATATTAATACCATGTCACAACAAAACTCTTTGGAAGGTATATTAGACCTTCATCACTATTTGGATTTAAGAGCAGCTTAACTGTATTGTCAAAACTGTTAAAATTTTCGGAACATACATTAGGAGCATGGTATACAGCTTATCTTTGTGAACTGAAACCGTCAAAAATCGACAGTTTAACCATTTATTGCATCATATTCTTATTTACCTGGCTGAGGTGGGGGGTTACAAGCCGCTGCTGGACGAGGTACTGAACGTGAAGATCTGCCTGCAAAGATAATCATATCACAAAGGATCCCACAGCTAAACTATTACCTCTCAGTGCAACATGCACAAATTATTGATTAGTTAGTTTATTGATTCAGAATTTTGTAACCAAGACATAAAAAAGAAAAAATAATACTCCTCCGGTCCTTAATATAAGACCCATTTAACTAATTTGATTATATTAAGGAAGTTAGGTAAGTTAGTTAATTATAAGAAAAGTGACACATTTTTTCCAAAATACCATAATCATCTTTCTTAATACCCTCTCTCCCTCTTCTACTTGATTATGGGTGAAAAAGTATCCATAAGGGTAATTTAAAGAAAATTGATAAATATGAAAAATGGGTCTTATATTTAGGACCAAAATCAACTCAAGAATTGGATCCTATATTAAGGACCGGAGGAGTAATTACAATATAATAGCAGCAAACGCTTGGATGAAGGGAAACTAGTTTACATTCCAAATGTTTCACTAAAAGAAATGTTCTACGAAAACATTGCCATTTGCGACATCACAGATCGCAGAGTTGAAACCATAATAAACACAAATGACAAAGTCAGAATAAAAATCCTGATTAGCATCAAAGTATCCTCAATAAAGAGGCAACCTACGCTTTTGGCAACACCCCACAAAAATCTTGCTTAAATGATCATCGACTTACGCAACAAGCACCACACGCATCACCAGAAATGAGGGAGCATATGCATCAACGTATCAAAGTTAACGGGTTAAAGAAAAATTCCCTCTAAACAGTAAACGATTTCCCATTTTTCGGGAGCGACGGAACTAACGTTTCAGCACAAGCATAAACGTCTAGTGTCCATCAACAACAACACCTTTCAAGCGCAAAACATAGAACCCTAAAACCCCAATTCCTTCGATAATGAAACAGGAAAATTGAAAAGAAAAAAAAAACCCTAGATATCATCGAAGAACTAATCCAATAGCTCCCTAATAGATTAATGTCCAGAAGATGAGCACGAAATATAAATCGATTAGAGGTCAGCCAGTTACCACTGGAGCTGCGGTGAGGCATGGTCAGGGTATAGGGTTGAGGCGGCGGAAGAGCAGATTGAGAGGCGAAGATCTCTAAAGAGGAATCACGAAATATGCCGCTGTAAAAATATAACCAACCAAACCCTTGAAACGGGAAATTTATAGCGAGCCCCGCAATAAGACTATGAGCTGCGGATTAGCCCAAAAATAGAGCTCCAGAACAATTCAGATTGTGTTTACGTGGAAGTACATGATTGGTTGATTTTAGGTCTTGTTCAATTTTCCGTTGTATGTTTGGGTGTATTTACTACTTTCATTCCATTTAACTTTTGTAGTACAATATGATTTATATTTATATTAATTTTTTTATAATCAGTTTGTTAAATTGAGACTTATTTGAATAAATAAATAAAAATTTACATATAAAATGACTGAAAAAATCATGTATTTTATAACCTATATCTAATATAACGGTTTGCTAAATTTAAAAACATAACAAATTAAAATAAAAATTATAAAAATAAAAAAGAGTTAATATTTTATTTAGAAAAAAAAGGACAATACCTACACCAAGTTCCTTATATGCATTATGTCAAATTTTTTGATCACACATATCTATGTATTTTATTTTTGAAATGTTTGCATTTAATAGTGTTAAATTATAAGTTCACATGGGAAAAAAATAGAACTCATGACCACAAGGGGCTGAAAATTTTGATATAATAGATATAAACAGCTTGACCTAGATACTTTTTTTTTTAAAAAAATGTATTAAAAAAATTATTACTAGCAAAAAAAATTAAATTATTGGATCAATATAGAATCTGCTTGAATACCATTATCTTTCTTTTCGTTCTCATTTGTTTTAACTCCCCAAAAGCTCATTAGAGAAAAAGTTAACCAAACACGTATAAACGTTAAAGCCACCGATCAATTGACTTTTCACATTGCCCAAGGCATGTTTACTAGTTTTAACACCAATCCGATCACATGCTTTGTGATTAGCAAAAAAATTGAATGCTTGTGATTTTTTTTCACTTTCGTATCATAAAATAAAACGCAAATAGTTGGTCTCCTGGCGCTAAACACCTTCAAAACCTTTCTAAATGTAAATTGTGAGTTTCGACTTTTCATGAAGAGTATAAGAATCTCAGAATAAAACAGAATAAATTTAACAAAACACAACAACAACAGCATGTTTACTCTTTTTGCTTCTTATTATGATAAGATCTCTTCTAAAAGAAAATTTTGGTTCTTTTTATAAGACCATACAATAGTTTCAATCAAACTCCTCTTCATTTGTATTATCATTTCACATAATTCATGTTAATGCTTTTTTCATTTCTCAACTTTCAAAAACAAGTGAATCAAATACAATTTAAATAGCTAAATACATTTGCAATGGAAAAAATGTAAGAAAAAGGAAAATAATTCAAGACGTGAAAAAGGTAGAGACTTCGTATATTAATATAACAAACCTATAAATCATCGCCATTTTAGCATATGACATGTTTTATAGACAAAATAAATCAAAAGATAAAGGAAATAGTAACTAAAACTTCAACACAAAGATTATTTAACTAATGGCACGTCTCTAATATTTTACATAAATATGACCTTATCTTTTTTAATGAGACTACAACATCAGTCATCATAATTCGTGCCTCAGGTAATTCAATGCAACACCTTAATGCCAAGTCAAAAATTGATGATATATGTGGTAATATATTGCTGATATTTGGATTTCCTTGATGCAGCAAATTGACATCTAGAATATTGATGATTGAATGTGGTGTTGATTTGCTAACCCAATCTTTTAAACCAAGACCTTCAACAAACATTTCATCAATTGGCTTCTTCCTGGTAAACATCTCCATTAAAAGAATACCATAGCTATACACATCTCCTTTGAAAAAAACCACTCTTTTTTATCCATACTCTATATTTCAAAAGAGAATATAAGGTTTAATGTTAAACTTTTTTGGTATATAGCTAATATAAATCTTCACATTTAGGAACGGAAAATATATATCAATGATTGGATAATATCAAATTTTGCATAGAATAATAAAAAACAACATTATTGAACTAAAACATTATTACTTATTACCTGGGGCCATATAGCCAACTGTAGCCAGTGTTTTTGTATGAGTTTCCAACAGTCCTTCACTTAATAGTTTAGCTATACCAAAATCACTCAGATGAGCCACCATGTCTTCATCCAACAAAACATTACTTGGTTTTATGTCACAATGAACAATTGGAGTTAAAGTTCCATGATGAAGGTACTCTAATGCAATTGCCACGTCAACCATTATATTCAACCTTTGCAGGATATCTAAATAGTAGTTATGAGAGTACAACCATCTATCAAGGCTCCCATTTGACATGAATTCCATGATTAGAGACTTGAAATCATTTTTGGAGCAACTACTGATAAATACTTCTCATTGCGATGTCGTAAATTGCACATGGCAGCACATTCAATATCAAAACTTCTCAATGTTTCTTCCATGTCTGTGTTAAATACTTTGACAGCAACTATCTTTTCATTTGGCAGAATCACTTTATATACTGATCCAAAACTTCCAGAGCCAAGAAGATTCCTCTCATCAAATCCATTTGTTCCCTGTAGAAGCTCATGATAGGATATCCTAGTCGGTGCATCCAAATTTGTTAAATCCCTCTTATTTGTTAGCATCATCTCTTATTATGCTTTAGAAAGACAATGCTTGTAACAACCAAAATGACAACCATGATAGGCACTAAGCATTTTAGCACAAGTATCACTATATTTGATATGTGTTTCTTTCCTCTCCTACATGGTTGGACTTGTAGTTGGGGTTTTCCGCAAAGATCTTTATTCATAAAAAAAGATTGAGCTGTAAAATTTTGAAAAGGGCCACCATTTGGAATTTTCCCATCCAATAAATTGTATGAAAGATCAATAGATTTAAGATAGAGTAGTGACTCTAAGGACTTTGGAATCGCACCAGACAAGTAATTATAAGAAAGATCTATTGACTCAATACTTATCATGCCACTTAGTGATTCAGGTATAGGCCCTTGTAATTTGTTGTGAGCCAAAGATAGCTTTTGCAAAGTTGTCAATATGGCCATAATGGTAGGTATACTTCCTGAAATTTGGTTTCTTGACAAATTCAACAGTATAATTGCTCTCAAATTTGATACTTTTGGTGAAATTATTCCACTCAATGCATTGGAAGATATATCTAAAACCAAGATATCTTTGAGACTCCAAAGAGAAGAAGGTAAATGAGAAATCAGTTGGTTAAAGCTAAGATTTAATTGCTGCAAAGACGTCTTCCCAAGACATTCTGGAACTACTCCCGTAAACATGTTGTTTGCAAGATTCAACTCATTCAGACTTTTGAGTTGACAAAGGTCATTTATAATGGACCCTTGCAATCTATTATTGTTGAGACTTAAACGTTGAAGACTATGTAATTGATTAATTGTATTTGGAATCAACCCAATCAAATTATTCCCATCCAAAGCTAAATTGATCAAATTTTTTAAATTTCCAATTAGATGGGGTATAGCTCCGTTAAACTTATTTGATGACAAATCTAACATAATGAGCTTAGAAGCATTTGATATGCTGTTTGGAATTTGTCCAATTAGATCATTTGTATCCAGCCATAAGGTCTCCAGGTTGGGAAGGTCAATTCCTAAATATGATGGGAGAAGGCCGGAGAGGGAATTACCATCAAGGCGTAAGATTCTCAATGTCGAAGTGTTGAATATATTTGAAGGAATAGGTCCTTGCAAATAATTAAAGGCCAAGTCTAAGACATTAAGTTTATCAAGTTTGCCTATCCCTTTGGGTATAAAACCTGCACACAAAAATTGACAAAGATCATGACTTGTATATGGTTAAGATAAGAATACATACAAATAAATTTATTTTTATTACTTTTTCAGCCTTTATAACATTTTTGAAGTACAAATTATGGAAATCACATAAACTACCCTTAGTTAAGATGCCATGGTTTATAGAAGAATTGTTTGAAAGTTAAAGTTTAATTTTAAGTTGTAATTTCTGAATAACTGTTTAATAGAAAATTAATAAATTTCTGATATAGTAAAGAAACAATTGAAATTTTTGAGGAAAGAAAATTAAACAGGGAAATGATGTGTTGTTTAATTGAGGGCAGAGGAAAATGGAGAAAAATAAAATCTCATTTTAGTTTTAATCCACTAGAGGGGAAAAATAAGAAAACCATAAACTCCCATCAATTCATGATTTGATCTTTTGGTATTTTGGGATACTAGCTATATTCAAGCCCCCACTAAGAATATGGGCAATATTAATGGAAAGATGAAAAAGAAAAATCTCATTTCAAATTTATGAGAAGAAAAATAAAACAGTTAACGTTACTTGCATATAATACACATGATACTAGAGGATAAGGTTACACGAGAAATGAGAGAGAGAGGGAACCCGACGCCATCACTGAAGGAGAAGGACGCCTTTGAGCGAAGCCGGAAGAAGGTTCGAGCGGATGTAGGTGAGTTTACGTGTGGACAAAAGCTGGCTCCTCGTGATGAGGAATGGATGCATGACGAGATCTTGGAGGAGGCTAAGGAGAACAACGGGGGGGAAGGCTCGGAGACTTCAGGTTTGAAGTGGAAATCGTTTAAACATGCGGTTATGAACGAGAATGAAGATAGCAAAGAAGAGGAAGATTGGTGGAGCGAAGGTCGGTGGAAGGAAAGAATCTCTGTTATAATGACAGAAAGGGGTCCAAACGTTATTATACCCCCTGAGGAGAAGGAGAGGCTTGCGAAACGATGGAAGAATGCTTTAATCGTGAAGTTAATAGGTAGAATGGTGAACCCGGACTATCTCAAAACTAAGGTGAAGCAGTTGTGGGCGAAACAAGGAGAGGTGGAAACGATCGATGTAGGCTCAGGCTTTTTCGTCGTACAATTCACAAAAACACCGGACTATGATCTCGCCTTGACTGGGGGGCCTTGGTTACTCTATGACCACTAGCAACCTTGGAAG